CAGCAACGTTTGTACTTTATGCAATTACTCATAGTTATTATACCACGGTAACTAAAATTTGAACCCTGCTGTTGAGGGAGTGCTGTTAGATAACTAAACCATGTGTCTTAGTCAGTTGGGGCTGCTATAACAGAACACCATAGGCTGGGTAACAGCAAACATTTGTTTCTGACAGTTCTAGAGGCTGCGAAGTTCAAGATCAAGGCACTGGCAGATCTGGTGTCTGAGGAGAGCTGTCTTCTCGAATCGTCACATGGTGGATGGCAGAGACAGAGGGAGCAAGCTGTCTTGTGTCTCTTCCTATAAGGGCAATAATATCAAAAGGGCTCCACCCGGGTGACCTAATTTCCTCTTAAAGTCCCGATCTCCAAATATTATCACATTGTGGATTTAGGTTTCAACATATGAATTTGGGGGAACATAAATATTCAGTCCATAGCACCAGGGTAACTGAAATTTGTGAAAACCAGAATTGCACCAAGTACATACACACATACAATGTATAATAACCTGGTCCTATATTTCAGTTATTCTTTTTCTTTTTTTGGGTTTTATTCTTTTGCTTCAATTTCTTTCCTATTCTTTCTACCCAGATGGTTTTTCTCCTCTCTCTCTCTCTCTCTCTCTCATGTAAAATTGTATCCTCTTCCTTTATCATTGCCTATAGCACAAGACCTGGTAAGGCTTTCTGGGAAAGCTCCCTATTGCACTTAGTTAAGTGCTGAGTAGACAGTTCTCTAGCCACTTTATCTCAAAGATATTTTAGGGGTACAGTTGGTGATTGGTGGGGTGATCATCCTTGCCCTGATACAAGGAACTTGCTCTCTTTTTGTCATTTGAGGGTTTCTCATGCTCATCAAAATAAATCCATACTCAACAAGTTGAGGAATTCAATTCAGGCAGGCACTGCTTGAACATTTTTAAGCTTTAGTTGCAGGAACGTTTTGTGGTAGATTGAATGCATAAATAGCCTTTGTTCTCCAGCCACCTCTGTTGTCCACCCCTTTGCGATGTGACTTTGTTTCTCCTCCCTCACTCCTTGAATCTGGGCTGGCCTTGGGACTTCCCTTGGCCAATTGAATGAGATGGAAGTGACAATGTACCAGCGCCTTGGTGCCAGTGCTTCTGCTCTGTCTTAGCCCCCTACAGGAAGGAGCTTAGCTAGCCAGATGCAGGTTGAGAGGCCCTGTAAAGTTCAGCTATCCCAAGGTAAGACACCCTAGACGAGCCCACAGTCAGAGGGCCCCGTATGTGAGAACATCCGGGCAAGATCAGCAGAGTTGCCAACCTCATCACAAATGCATGAATGAGCCCACCTCCGACTGGAAAAAATGGCTCAGCTGAACCACAGACTCCTGACAGAGAGTAAATTATTATTATTATTATTATTATTATTATTATTATTAATTATAGCATTTAAAGCTTTTTAAATTTAGCAATAGTCAAATTATACAATGTTGTTTATGGAGGCAATGCTTTTTTATTATCCTTGGCTGTTGCTATCATCTATAAAAATATCCACTGCTTAGTCCTGAGAATTGGTAGCTGGCAAATGCTTACCTTAACTTTAAACAGATCTGTTAGGGCACCGTCCATGTCGGGGCTGCTGAACTATCCGACTGGAAGGGTAAGAACCATGTCAGCGCATTGCAATGTACCTGTTGTACAGAAACACTCGAGAAGTATTTGCCGAATGAAGGAGCATTTGCAGAGCAGGAGCAATAATACCTCTGGGGAAAACTGATTAATACTCAAAATGTCTCAATATTGTGGAAAAGTTTTGTTTTGTTTTGTTAAATATTAATTTTAAAATACATCTTTTATTCCCTCCTGGGAAGAAAACAAATTTTCCCCTTTTCTAGAAGTGACAGTGTTTCAATACACAATGAAAATGGAAACACATTTATAAATGCAATTAAGTGAGGATAAACAGTTGTGGTACCTGTCAGGCTCACCTTTGTTAAGAATGGCATCCTAGAAATGTGAACTTGGAGTTTTCCTCCGAATGCTGGAGGTAGATGTGTGTCCACTCACCTGTATTTTTTTATTTGGAGGTGCTTGTGATTTGAAGGACCACAGATTTGAAAACGGCAGTCTGAATTTAGCATTTAGATCCTGTACTCAATCCATGGCTCACAGATCTCGGGGTGGGAACAGCAGGCTTATTTTTTTATTAAATCTCAACCATGTCCTGAGGTTCTATCAGACTAAGAACCAGCTATAATCTACAGTAAAAAGAACAGGAAAGAAGAGTTTCAATACTCTTATTTTTTTCTTCTTAGAAGAGAATTATTCACTTAATCTCTGGAAGAAATTTCCTTAGTTGATATTTCAAAAGAATCATAACTCACAAAATTCATTAGGGAGCCCAGGCCTGACAAATTGTGAGAAGATCACTGTTTGCGAGGCGTAAACGGAACCATTTGGTATATGCCCTGGGAAACTTTTTAGAGCACACAATTCCAAGTTAATGAATGGTGCCCTAGAGGCAGGAACAAGGTCATTTACGTCTCTTCTCTAGCCCCTTGCTCATACAGGAGACAGATGATATAATAGATTGTACCTGCTCAAGGTTCCAGGGAGTTTGCAGGAGGCTGTGATTTGTCAAGATCGGTGGTCGCGGAACTGCGGCTTGCAAGCCACATGCAACTCTTTGGGTTCGTTCTGTCTCAAAAGTTTGCCGACCCCTGGTCAAGAGGGAGGTTGACAGGATCCCTCGACGAGCAATAGATGCACAGGGTCACTTAACTGCCTGAGGAGCTGGTCTAATCTGAACCATTGGAATCCCTTCCCAAACATTCTCCAGTCGCTCTCACAATCTGGCTTTCATAACATTGACAAGCATTCTTTATTTCTCTACTCCCCAAGAAAGGATTCGTACGTGGAGGACAATAAATCAAACTTAATTTTTAAAATTTCACTTAAAAATTTTTTATTTGAAAAATACAATACACAGCAGAGAATTATTCTCTCCCCTACTGCTCTTTCACAGAGGAAACTGGTAAAGGTAACCGAGATATTTGTCTGGGATAGATCCTGAGAAGAGAGGCCCAGTTAGAAGAGGAATTGACAAAGTGCGTCGAAGTAGGTTCACCTCTCTTTTAACATAAAAGAGCCTTTTAAATAATCTTAGGAATCAGATTGAACATGTGCAGAATTTCTGCCATGCAAACAGAGATGACTGAAATTTTCAGGCTGCCTAATTTATACTGACCTGGGCCCCAAGTAAGTAGGAAAAAAAGATGTCTTCATCAGAAACATGTGTTTACCTGCTTTTACTAGACTATGCACATATTCACAAATTGATATTTTCTTCAATGCGTTTTTCCATTGTTCTCAGGAACAGCATCATGAATAAGGGTTCTCTGCTGGGCTTTTTGCCTTCTGTGCACGTCTTTTTATTCTTCCGAATGTCCTTTATTGCAGGATAATTCATTGCACAATCTTGGGCCCATGACATTTAAATATTAAAAAACACCTTACCCTGATCTGTCTGGGGTTAAATCTGGGTTTCTGAGGCATTTATGACTCCCACATTCAGACGAATATATAAGAATTCTAACAGGAAAAACATTACTGATTGGTTCCTTGGAAAACTGATGCTAGAACTGATAGAACTGATCTAATTCTAGAAGTCCTACTGGTAATCCTGTCTCCTAAGATATTTTGATCATCCTTTCACTTCCATTCCCAGCAACTGAATTCCCCATTACTGTTATTGCCTAAACTGTCTGTAAAAAGGGTAAAGGCATTCCAAGCTTTCTGTGTTCTAAATTTCCACCAGAATTGAATTTGTTCTAGAAGTCTGATATTGGTAGAAATATGAATTTTCTGGTTTTGGCCCTACTGAAAGTGTTTTAGCCCCCACAATGATGGAAAAGAGTAAGTAACATCTATTTGGGGAGTAATGAAAAAGTGTTTGGTTATATTTATTTTCTAATTTCTGTTGAAATTACACAGAAAACTAAAAGTGTATTTGCTTTAGGTGTATTTGTCAAGGTTCGGGAGTATCATTTCAGCCAATTAACTATATAATTGCTCACATAAGACAAAGCTACTCAGGGTAAGTTTAAAGGTTGCCAAGTTATTGTTGAGAAGTACACTGAATGGTTTTCTCATAGTCCAATTCATTTACCTTATATTCCCATGATTTTCATCCTTAATTCCACATGCTCAGTGTAAGATACTCGTGTGTCACTCAGGGCCTCTCCTGAGTGGTGGGGGCTAGAGCACGCTGTGAAGATGGCAGGAGAGACATCTGATTTCGGTTTTGACTTGACAAAAGACCTCACCTAGACTCTTGACATTATTTTTAAATAAAATTTTAAATAGGTTACTATATGGTTGGGTATTTGAAAAGTGTTCACTCTTAAAACAAACATTTAAAATATAGCAAAGTTTTTGTAACTCTATTTAGGCATTTCTTCATTTTTTTAAAAATAGAGGTATTTGCCCAGGATTCCACTGACCTCTGAAAGGCCTGTGTGACCAAAACAATATGGCAGCTGTGGCTTATTTAAAAGGAGTACTAGTTCGGGATCAGAAAACCTGAATTTAAGTTTTAACTACGTCTTACTAGTTGTGTAGAATTGGGCACATTATTTACCCTGTCTTGGCTTTATTTTTCTCATCTATAAAACTAAAGCCATACTCTTAATGTTTACCTGGGGCTACTGTGAGGATTACATGAAATAATAAATGAAAACGTAAACTATAAAGTACTAGCCATATACAAAGTAAAATATGTTAACCACATTTCTTTTATTTATATAATTTATGTTATTGGGATGTGGTTCTTTCCTATTTAAATTATGTGGAAACTTGACTAATAAAAAGCCTAAGAAAGGAGACTGTGACCACTCTTGAGACACTGTCATCAATGGAAAATTACTCAAGAAATAGGTACCACTGCTGGATTTTGTCACTTAAACTACCCTAAACACTACCTGCATTCAGAAACTACAAGTCAACAATTAAACCACAATTGTCAGAAACAAATGTCCAAATAAATAATTTTTAATTATGATACATTACTTATTACAGTAAAAATTGGCATTTTCCCCTTCAAAAGCAGAAGCACCAGTCTTAGAAGGTATAGAATGGATGATATTTTAAGGGAAATATAGCATAATATTATGTGCAAACATTATTTTAGTATAGAACACACTTTCTAAACATAAAGTATTTTCACACACTGAAATCTGTTAGGATGGAAATAATGTCATGCTGAATAATAAAATAAAAACCCCCATGGCTTTCAAAGTCCACTTCAAATGAAATATGGTGTACTGCTGAATAGACATATGAAAAATTAAACAGTTTAACTAGCCCAAAATGGAGGGATTTCTTATACAAATATGACTTTTCACACAGTCTCAGTGATTCTGTGAGAATCTAAACTAGTTGTTCCATTTAAGAATTAATTTGCTCATTTGGTCATCACATTTTAATTGAACACCTACTTTGTGCAAGGCTTTGTTGTAGGTGATGGGAAAACAGAGAAGAAAAACACAGTCCTGCCTTTGAGGAGCTCACAGTCTAGTGGGGGAAACAGATAAGTTGACATGGATTTAAAAATTATAAAAATTATTAGACAACTTTATAAACTTCTTTTGTGATCAAACAAATTTTGGGTGTTAAGAATGGATGGTGAAAAGGGATGATGTCCAATGCAGTGAAAAACCATCTGCTTCAATATCATGTGACTTCTGCAAAGGCGGTGATGTGGTTCTGCAAAAAAAAACAAAAAAACAAAAAAAAACAAAAAGGAATTACAAAGTCAGGGTCTGGGAAAAATTGGCTTCATAAAATATTTAGTGCTTTTATAATCGTTAGCCTAATATAAAAGTGTAGCCCACATATGTTTAGGTTGTAAAAGCATACAACGTTATTAAACTAATTTCTATGTATTATTACATAACTTCAGCTGCTAATTATATATTTTATTCAAGATTTTTAATTAACCAAATAGGTTAAAATGTTGTACCTGCTTTATTCAAAATTAACACTGAAATTTGGAGAGATAAAAACGGTAATGCCAGACACGTTAATATTCTGCTCAGTGTTAATGGAATTTTAATGCTATCATGTTGGAGCTTCAGATTAATTGCTCCCTGTGAGACAGATGGCACAGAATGAGATAGATGGTGAAATGCTCAGACTGAAATGGTATTTGCTGGTTCACAAAGATCTACTTAAACATTTCATTTTTGATGCAGGAATCCAGACTACAGACTGAAATCTTTGTTTACCTCAACCATAGAAATCTTCACAGAGCCTTTTTACTTTTTTTTGAAAGCAACAGAATTGGGTACAAAGAAACCCTGTGGAATGACTAATATTTAAATGGGTTCAGACATGCAACAGGCTATATCATGGCTGCTGAAATATTGCAATGGAAAATTGCTATGACATAATTAATCATGCCACATACAGGGTTATGTCAAGTTCTAACATGTGACAGCCCCAACCAAGAATAGCAGCATTACAAAAGGTTTTTACCATATTACCTGTTTTGAATGTTTCTCACAGTAGTTTTTGTATTGACTCTTTATAAGTCAAAAATATCATAAATAGCATTTCATGTAATGAATGCATGCCATGAGATTTCTCCTATGTACATATGCTTTTTTCAAGTTAAAGTATAAAATGTTTAACTAGTTAAAACATTCTCAAAATATGTGTAAAGAAATTAAAATTGATTTTCACTGCATTTAAGCATATTAAGCCACAACTAGGAGGATATCATTAACTATTGCTTAAGGCATTATTTTCTAGGTTTGACCCACTTAAACCTGGAGAAAAAACAGTATCAGTAAAAGTCAGCAGTGAGCAAACATGCTGACTTTTTCACTAACTCCTGGTAGGACTTAGAAACTTTAATTCCCCATTTTAAAAATGCATAATGAAAATGTTGGGAAATTCAGCACCTCATCTCTGTTTTCTTGAGTTCTCTTTACAAAGTGCAAGCATGACTTTAGGACAACAAAGACTTGTCAGAGTTACATAATGCACTATGATTGAATAAAAGCCATAAGAACTGTGGAAACAGTACATCATAGTTTTATTTCCAGTGGCTCCATGAGGACTTAAAATCTGTGTACTGAGAAAATAAATTTGATATACGGTGTTTCAGTACAAAACTGACAGGAGTGTCACACCTCTGGACAGGACCTCACAGACGGTAATTGCTGGAAAGTAACTGTTAAGATATAAATTAAAGATTAATCAATCAGTGGCAACTGGTGGGTAGATAAAGGATGAAGAGGTGACAGTAGAAAGAAAGAGGATTAAAAAAACAAAACAAAGAAGAAGATAAAAATGAAAATGGATGGTGTTCCAAAGGCCATTGGCCGAGGTATCAGTGTTTCCTTGACCTAGATAATTAAATTTGCTGAAGATGATCGTAACTGAAGAGGACAACCATCACCTTAGAAAGTAGAACAGAAATATTAAAAGACTGTAATAAATCATGGAAAGTATCAGAAACAAATCACTGATAATCTATTCAAATCAGGACAGAAGCAGAGGAAAAAGCAAGTGACAAAGAATGTTCAATGACTCTAGGGTGACCATATAAATTATCATCTAAACCTGGACATAGTGAGGGGAGGAAGAGGATGCCAATAATACACAGAGACAGCAAGCTTAAAATGAGACTGTCCCAAATAGGAACGTGAGGTCACCTTGGAAATAAGGTCTTGAACGTATAACTTTAAGTATGCTATTGAGATTTAGGGATTACTGGATTCAGTCTTGGCATCTAAAATCATGTTTCGGTGGCTACTAGGTCTTCCATTCCCTGCTCATAAATTCCAAATATTACCCTTTTCTTTATGCTAAGTCATTATCAAGTTAAACCACAGGGTAACAGTTCATTCCCAGACTGACTTCATTATCACGTCCAGGGCTCTTGGGAAATGTCTTCCTTTTTCCCATTAGCACCCTCTATGTTTCACACCACATTAAAATTTAACCTCAGAAATTACTTTTCCTATTTGATGAGAATAAGAAGTATCCTGCTCGGGGCTTGTCATTTAAAGGTGGTCGTTTGCAGAGAAATAAACAGATGAAAATAAAATATTGAAGTGACTGTGCATAGGGAAGAGAAAATTAAGGGGGAAATTTAATAATAGGGTCTAAGTACATGGGAGGAATATACAGATAGCACAGAGGCCATCTGTTCATTAATTTCACTGGCATGAACCCACACCACAGAATGAAAGAAATGGATTATTTATCTCAGTTGGCTTTAAAAAGTAAGATTAATTCTCTTCTAGCATAGGGGCAGCTTTCCCTAAAGGAATCTGGAGGAAGGACAAGCTAATTACTTAAGGTCCTTGCCATTTCTAAGACTCTATGGTTCTACTCATATATTTTACAAATTACATTAACAAGGTATGTAAATGCATACTGTGAAATACCCAGATGCTGTATAATTCTTATACAAGAAGTTATGATGTTGCTCACTTTCTCATCAGCATTTTTCTCAGTAATATAATAAAACAGAATTGCATTTAATATTTTCAGATCACCTGTCTTAAGGAATGGACTCCCTATCAGGCAAACTGAGTGACAAGGGGGTTTCTCCTTTTAATCAGGCTGAATTCTTAATATGCAACACTAAATCTTATTAGTAGCTGATGGTGTAAACACACAGTAGGCAAACCAAAAACTTGTACATACAAGCTTCATTCAGAGTCACAAGAAAAATGGTCATATAATTTATCAGTACAATTATTGATGCCTTCTGCAATTACACATACAGAGGCTTAGAGAGAAGATGGCAGAGCTTGAGCCCAAAGAGTTGAAGGTTAGGAAAGGCTACTCCCATTAGAAAGTGTTCATGCAAGTCCACAGCAAATCAGCGAGCAAAATACTGAATCCAGTCCTTGAGTGCAGAGTTCCCATGCAAAACAAGCATTTTGTTCTGAAAAGTCGTTTTATATTCTTAAATTGGGTAAATTCTAAAGTCTATAGTATGCCAATTTTTGAAGCTCTTAAGTTCTACATGAAAATCTGTACTCCTTTATACCTCCATTGTAGAAATTCTATTCTGTAATTTAAAAAAAGTCATTTAAAACAAAATTGTCATTTATTCATGACATGAAAATTTGGCGATGACTTGCCAACATGTGCCACTCACCATTTCCCTCTGAAAAATAAGAGAAAATGCAAAAAGAGCACTGCACGTGGGAAAACAGGAAAAGCCATTACTAGTAAGGGCTATTTGATTGAGGAATGCTATATTCCTATTTATGAGTGAAAAGTCAGTGAAAAAATAAAACATAAATAATAACAACAACAGTAATTGAGTACCTAGATCTCTTTTGGTTGTGATGGAAACCTGCACAGAAGGAGACATTGTTCTGTATTTGCCTTAGTTTTGCAACCCGACTCGCACACCAGTGCGCTCTAGCGCACATACGTTTATTGCCTTAATTGGTGGGGTTCACAGTGGCTTATTCCCATTATCCAGCTGAAGAGTCTTGCAAGACAGTCTTTAAAGGACCTCCCCTGTGAATTTTCTTCTTGACCATTCTCAATAGGTTGGATTTGGGACACCTACAAAATGTATTTTATGTATTATTTCAGTGTTTATAAAATATATTGACTTCTTTACTTGGAAAAAGTACTAGCCTACTTAAAGATCTATGTTGTTACATTGTTAGATCAAATGCTAAGGTTAAATATTGCTCCAGTTTCTGTCATTCAAGATGATTACAAACAGCTTCTGTGTTTTTTTTTTTGTTGTTGTTGTTGTTGTTGTTGTTTTTTTTTAGCTGAGCCATCCTGCTACCTGTTGGCAGCTCAGCNGCTGCTCAGCTCGGGCTGGACTCGAACTGCTGTTGCTCAGAGCTCAAACTCTTGAGCGAGCTCTTAACCAACTGAGCCACTCGGCCGGCCCTAGCTTCTGTGTTTTGATAGTAGGTTGTGAGCAACCAGCTTGGGTTTTTAACCTAAAAATAAAATGAGATCTGTGCATACAATGTCTTTGCTTCAATTACTTAGTCTTCAGTCTATTGGTAAGGAAGCAGTGTGGTACAGTGGACTTTGAAGTCAAGTGTTTGAATGTGGGCCATAACAATTGAAATTTTCACAAGCAATACAACCTTTCAAAAACACAGCTTTCTCATCTGTGAAATGGAAATAATACTACCTATTTAAATAGATTTTTATTAAGATTAAATGAGATTATGTGCACAAGGTATACTCAAACATATCATTATAGTCTTCTGTAAAAGCCACAGAAACAAAATAAGAAGGAAAAGAAACAAAGAGAGAAAAAATAAAATTAAAAAAATAATAATAATTGGTTGAAATTTCACAGTTCTACATGTCTGAATGTCTACAAACAAACGTTGAAACCCAAATATTTCTTATAATGTTGTTACAAACTCATTTGGTGGCAAAAACCAAACCTGAATTGATAATAAGGCAACTCATACTCGTGCTGCAGAAAGACCCATCTTTGATTACTAAGTGCTGCTCAAGGTCCTGCTTGTGTAACAGAATACACAGTATTTTTCCTCTAAAATATAAAATATTTTGAATCCTGAAAAACATCTAGCACTAGGGATTTAGGTTAAGGAATCATGGCCCTATAATTAAAATCACTCAACAATTCTGGTGCTATAAGACACCATCTGCATTTTGTCAGGGGATGGTAGCTGGATATCATACTCCCAAATAGTAGCCGTCTTTATTTTGCTTGTTGCTTCCTTCATTCGCCGTGTCCTCTGAGGAGGGCAAAGTGAGCAGAAGAGAAGAGGAAAAGCGGTAGCACATAGAGTAAGTGCTCTAAGGCTGTCACATTAAGTTACAACCTCTTGGTAGGTAGTAAAGTTGGTGAGTATTTTAATAAAGAGAAACAATGTTAGGTCCCTTTAGGAAGTTTGTAAAATTCATGTTAAGCTATTTCTTGTTTTAAAAAAGTTGGGAATATGAAGGCATAAAAGCTAAAATGTGATGGACCAACGTTCTCTTGGGAAAGATTTTTCAACCATTTCTTTCTCTACAGTGGTTCTGTGTCAGGTCGGAGTTTTATATTAGCTCAGAATTTTGCTTCTATTAAGGATTTTTTTTTTCGGTACTACTTGGGAAAAGGGGCTAAATGCTACTTTCTAAGAGAATTGTTTCTCCCTAGACAAAAGAGAAATCTCTAGACGGCTTTCTCTAATAAGCTAATTAAACCAGAGGCAGGCCCAGGTTGTACTGGGGTATTGCCTATAGATCTTATGAAGTATTTCCAAGTCCTGTGGTGCCAAAGAGGCTTACAGCTTTCCACAATGAATCTTTAGAAGCACTGGTTCTCTATCTTGGCCGCACACTGGAATCACCTGGGAGCATTAAGAAACTACTGATACAACCCCACAGACTTGGATTTAATTGGTCTGAAGCGTGGACGGGTCAATAGGATTTTTAAAGTCTCTCCAGATGATTCTAATGTGCAACCAATATAAAAATCCACTGTTTCAGAAGCTCTGCAGGCCCAGTTGGATCCAGGCCAACTGCTGGCTGTGTATCCAAATCACCTGAGGTGCCTGATAACAATACAGATCCCCAGGCCCAAGCCCAGGCCTACTGGATCAGAACCTCTGGGTACGGATCCCAGAAATTTGCCCTTTTTGCAAGTGCTGCAAGTGACGGGTTCCTTTTTACAGCAGTCTGAGAACCCCTACTTAAAAATGTAAAATAGCGATTGGTTAGCAATGTAAATATCATCAGGTATATAAAATCAATTCTTTCTTTAAAATTCCATCATTTTTCTGACAAAAAGAGCCTTGCCTAAAAAAGCAATGATCCTGAGTGAAGTCTCAAAAAGATAAAATCTTTGTGCTAAAAGAATTCTGGGAACAACTAACTGCATATTATACTCCTGCCTTAGAGCTTCATAGTACATAAAGGCTTTGGAAGACCTGTAACAAAGACTTGTGTTTCACTTACACTCAGTGTTTCCCAATGCACTGACATGAAACTCCATGTAAGTCTATTAACACTCATGTGTTTATGGTACTTGATGGATGTGGGTATCTGTTGGAGGAGGTCATTAAGAGGATGTGATCGGTGGTTGACTCTTGAACTGGACCTGTACAACTGGAGGCTTCTCACCCCTTCCCCAGTCCTTGGAATGTATGTTCCCCTGTTCCCACACTAGGAGTCATTTCAAGGACACAGCCTTGAGAGAGTGAGGTGTTGTTGAGACCGTCTGGATGGTACATGTGGCTGAACCCAGTTAAGGTCTCTATATAATCTTTTAAGATTCTGGTGGGTGGGTGTGGAGATTTACTTGTGTTGCAGCAGCCTCACATATAAGATCCCTTGCTTATCCACTCTGCCACCTACTAATCTGGAGTGGTCTGTCTCTTTGGTTCTCCTTACCCTCTGTGTATGGGGCCAGTTTTTGAACCAACGGTATTCAGGTACCCTATCAAAGTTCCTTAACCTCCCTAACTTTAGTGACCTTCCTGTCCATGGCACTTTTGGCTGATATTCACAGCTATAAGCTCAACAGTCAGAAATGTAAAATCCCAATTTACCTCCTCTCCTACCTCCTTCACACTAAAACATTTCTTTGTCCATTTTGAAAATTTCCAGACTGCTAATTTATCCATCTTGCTCCTTCTGAATTCTATTTCTTTTATACTCATTTCTAGACCCCACCTGAACATTCTTAAATGGCATCCTCAAATCTTGCACCCATGCTCTTATCTCATGGGTGCTTGCCAAACAAAATCTTTTATAAGCTGTTTCCTCTATCTGGTAAATTCTGCTCTCACCTCCTCACTTGGCGAAGAGTCCTTCAGATCTCCCTGTAGAGGATGTTACAAGCACTGCTGTTTGGGTAGGTACCCCCATGTGTTCCTCTAGCATACCCATCATCATCCTGTTCTGTATTTGTTTATAAAATTATCTCCCCACTAGACTGTAAGCTCATGAGTCCTGGGAAATGCTCCATAGTGCTTCTTATTTTATATTTGTTGCATGCTTCATATATTACAAATCTCACTACATATAAAAATTTACTATACATGACAAATGACACGAAAGATAATTCATCAATTAATTGTACCCATAACTTGTTTTATACTAGTATTTTAATCTATCTAACTCATTGGCTTCTTATTTATTTCATTTCTCTTTACTTTCTAAAATCCTTTATATTTGCTAACTAAGCAGCCAATGCTACTTGACAGAAAAAATTAGAGGATGTGAGTAATGGATGAAGTACATGATAAATTCTCAAATAACCAGTAGCTGATTAAAACGCCTCATTTAAAAATTTGCCTATTTTTCGAAAGAGGTACCAATTAGTGCAAATTTGGATGAGCCACATTAAGATTCATTTCAGAGCCATTCAAAACCATAAGGCCCATTACCGATGACACAGATACTGTGGGAAATTTTTGTAAAAGTAAATATATATTTACCATAAAACCTAGCAATTCCATTCCTAAGTATTAATCAAAAGAGAGAAAAATGTATATTCACACAAAAACCTGTACATGAATTTTGTATCAGTTTTATTCATAATTGTGAAAAACTGGAAACAACCCAAATATCCTTCAATTTGTGAATGAATAAAAACAAAACCTGTGGTACATCCATATATCAGAATACTATTCAGCAGTAAAAAGGGGGGAAAACCTACTGCTGCAGGTATTTCAAATGCATTATTTAAGTAAAAGAAGTCAGACTCAAAAGGCTACATACTACATCAGACTATTTATATATCATACTTATGAGTCCTTTTATATGAAAAGCAAAACTATAGAAACTGAAAACTGATTAGTGGTTGCCAGAGGCTACGGGCTGAAGAAGGGCTGAATGACCACAAAGGGAACAAGGGAACTTTCTAGGGTGGTAGAAATGTCCTCTGACTTAATTATGATGATGATTACATGATGTTATGCACTTGTCAAAACTCATAAAACTGTATGCTAAAATTGGGAATTTTACAGGATGTATATTATACTTTTATAAACTCCAATTATAAAAAAAGTTAAGGGCCGGCTGAGTGGCGCATTGGTTAAGAGCTGGCTTGGGACGCCAGAGGCCCCCGGTTCGGATCCCACATATGAGGGCCAGTGACACTGCCCTCTACAGCTAAGATGCTGAACAACTCAACCTGGAGCTGGGCTGCCGTCAATAGCATAGGCTGCAGCCCCTGCTGCAGTTGGTTGCCATGGGCTACCGTGTGTAGCCAGCAGCCGCAGTGAGCGGCCAGCAGCCGCAGTGAGCAGCCGTCCAGAAGCCGGCGACTGATCTGCCTCTCCCGGGAAGAGCGCAATGATGGTGCCAACTTGGGCCAGTGAAGCAACGTCCTCCACAACTAGACTGAAGAGCAAAAGGACAGCAACTTGTCTGTTCCCCTTCCCCCAATTCCCCAGTGCTGTTCCCATCCCCCAATTCCCCATGTTAAAAAAAAAAGTTAAGACCATTAGCCATGAATGATATGAACTAAGGCTAGAAGCCAAGTAATATCTAGAATTTGGTTTATCAGTTATTGAATTATTGTTTCAACACTTAATTGTTTCAATTACAAAATAAAAATACAAAATGTA